TGTGAGCCTGACTGGGCAGGCACACTACCAACCTCCCTGGGCTCTAGAGTAACTATCAGATTTCCCCTGCTCCAGCCCCACGCAGCCCCAGGTGCAGTTGGGCATTCATTTCCTGCCACCTGCTGGCTCAAATAGGAATAGCAAGCTTTGGTCCAGTCATTTCTAGGGAATTTCCTTTCTCCTGGATACAATGTGAAATTGATCATCTTCTCACCAGATGAGGCCTCCACACCCCCATCCCATCCCCTCTCATGCTTAATAGATGAAGAAGGCAGAGAATAATTTTCCAAAGCTACACGGAGAGTTAACTTGGGCCACTCCCTGCATACCTGGAGCCCAGCGAGAAAACGTTTTCAAGCACCCACCCCACCCACCCCACCACAGCGAGGGGGGGCTATTTATACTGATAAGCAACAGAGTCGGAGCCAGCCCACTTCCAGGCACAGGGTCCAGTGACTTGGCCAGCCTCCCCCAACTCCTCTCCTCGGCTCTGGCACAAACCCTCTAGTTGTCGTCCCCATAGACAAGTATTGGTTGAGCACCGATCTGCCAGGCACTGGAGCCCATCTTCTTTCCCTCACTTGTGCAACATGGGTGTTGGACCAGATTCAGTCATTTGCAAAAGATTTCTTGAGCATTCATTGTATGTGTCAAATCCTCCTGGTGCTAGCAAACGTATGGATACCAAGGGGGTAAGGTTGGGAGTGGGATGAATTGGGAGATTGGGATTGACATATACACACTACTGTGCATAAAATAGATAGCTAATGAGAACCTACTGTACAGTACAGGGAACTCTACTCTATGCTCTGTGGTGACCTGAATGGGAAGGAAATCCAAAAAAGAGGGGATATATGCATATGTGTAGCTGATTCACTTTGCTGTACAGCAGAAACTAACAAAACATTGTAAAGCAACTATGCTCCAATTTAAAAAAAAAAAAAATCCTCCTGGCGCTAGGAATACAACCGCATTTAAATTTTAAAAAAAGGTTGGGAGGTGGGGAAGCTGGGATTGGAGAGGATATACAAGTAAACGTTTAGTCAACAAACATTGGCAGAGTTTTGAACTTCTGCCCAGGAAATATATTCATGACAGACTTTGCCTCTGACTTCATGGAGTTTACAGTCTAATGGAAGAGACAGACATTAATCAAGGAAAACAATGTGATAAGGGCTTTAAAATACAAAAAAGGAAAAAGAGGGAGGGGTGTAGAGGGAGTTTATGGAGCACACAGCAGGGACACCTAGCCTATCCCTGGGCTCAGGGAAGGCCTCTGAGTAGGAATTAGTTCAGGGAAAGAGAAGGAGATGGAAGCAGGGGTGGGGCTGGGAGAGCGCTCCAGCAGAGAGACCCACCTTCCCAGAGGCCAGAGTGAAAGAGGAGTGCAGCACTTTCCAAGAGATGGAAATATCACAGGGTGGCTGGAGCACAGAATGCCAGACGGAGATACGCAGACAGCACTGCCCAAGTCATCTAAGGCCTTGTCACCATGTAAAAGTTTTAATTATCCTCAAGTCAGTGGCAGCCTATTAAAAAGTTCTAAGGAAAAGACGACCAATAAGATTTATGTCATAACAACCCAGATGGGTTGGAGGGGGCGGGGGGGGGGGTGGAGATGGGAGGCAGGAGGGAAACTAGGCTAGACGTCATCACAACAAGCCCAGATGGGGACCCAGGATGGAGTGGCAGGTGCAGAGCTGGACAGGCACTGGGGCCCCTGGGCTCCATTTCCTGCTCTCTGCTGGCCCTGCCCCTCACAGGAACAAGCAGAAGACAGGGAGGCTACCTGAAGAGCTCTCGCTCTCCAGGATGGCAGAGTGAGCCCATAAACCCCCCAGAGCCACACACTGAATCAGCAGCCCAGCTGAGACTCTCAGCATGCCTCAGAGCTCACAAGGAAGGACCACAAAGCCGGACATGATGAGAGCAGACAAGAGTGTCTCCACGATCCAGATGAGGAACAGAAAAAGCGAGGAGGATCAGGGGAGCAGACATTTGGGTAGTGAGCATGAGGCAGGGAGGGGGCAACATGCAACACAACAGGCAGGGGTGCGGAGCATAGGGTGGGGGAGGAGGGAAGCTGCAAAGGTAAGTTGGAGCCAAATGATGAAGGGCTTGAATGATAACGTGATAAAAATCCAGAGGTATGTCTGAGGTCACACCTGCCAGGGATACAGGAACATGGAGGAAAGAAGCAGCTGTGGTGCCCTGGCTTGTGAGTGGAGGTGAGGCCCACAGCCCTTGCTCCCTCCTGGGCCGTTCACTCCCTCCCCCAACCTACGCACAGAAGACATTACTGGGGAATGGAGTGGGTGGGAGAGGGCAAGGAGGCAACAGAGGCAAAGCAGGGGATCTCTCCAAACTGTCCCCTGGATTTCTAACAAAACAGCGTTCAGAATATCCGCTCATCTATAACCTCTGATGGTCGAAAAACACCTTGAAGTAGTGGAGTGAATCTTATCCCCAAGTAAAGGAAAAAATGAAATTAAAAAACTCTTTGAGAGTCATGGAAGGAAGTCTTCCAAGCAAGTGACTTGCGTAAGGTCACACAGCCAGCAAATGATGGAGCAGAGACCTGAACACAGGTCTCCAGACTCCACGCTGCCCTCCTATCCCCTGGTTTGCATCTGTTTTGGTATGTGAGTGGCGCCCCTCTATAAGGCATAACTCCCCAGCCAGCCAAAGAGCCTTCAGGAGCCTGGAATGGAGGCAGGGAGAGCCAGATGGGCATGGCCTGGCCTCCCAGGGGAGTGCCTTGCAGGGAGGGTGCCCAGCCCCTGTCTTATTTTAAGTAGAGCCCCATGTTGAATCTGTTTCAGGAGGATGAGGCCGGAGAGGGCCGCTTCAACTTCTCTGCCTATGGGATGGGCCCAGCCTGCCTTCAGGCCAAGGATGGCATCTCGGTCAAGGGCACCAACAACAACACCACCACCAACCCACCTCCTGCGCCATCTAAGTCCCCGGAGGAGATGCGAAAACTCTTCATCCAGAGGGCCAAGAAGATTGACAAAATCTCCCGCATAGGCTTCCCCATGGCCTTCCTCATCTTCAACATGTTCTACTGGATCATCTACAAGATCGTCCGCAGGGAGGATGTCCACAACCAGTGACGGGTCTGGGATGGGGGGAGGCTGGGAGAGGGCAGAGTGGGAAGAGCGCAGGAATCTGAGGGCCGAAAAGGAGGGGATGGGAGGGAGGGGGCGCACACACAACCGTCTCCTTCTCTGCAATGTGTGCAATCCCAAATGCGGCGATGCATGACTCTTAGAATGTGGCACTATCTATTTAACCTCGGGTGGCTGGTGGGAGCGGGGAGGGAGGGGCTTTTCTAATACAGGAACTGAGGGGCCAGGGAGGACGGGGAGGGTTCGGGGTGGGTCGGAGGGAGTGGGAGAAAACAGCTTTCAAAAATTTGAGTCCGTGGGCTGTGCGGTTTTCCTGTTTGGAAGGAGCGTGCAGTCTGCCCCAGAGCAGAAGGGAAGCAATATAATATAGGATATATATTCATGCTTAATATTAATCCAAAACCACAAGAACAAAAGATTTGTTTCTTAACCTATCAGCCTAGTAACTGCTTAAATTTTTAAAGTCACAGAAGTGATGGACAATTTTTCCCAGAGTGGAAACAGTCACAAATAAGCTTGCTCTGGTGTGTGTCCCACATCACACCCCTCCAAACGCCATGCCTATCTTCAAACTGGCCCAGGCGGACTCATGCCAAAAAGCCATTCTGCCTCTGCTTCAAGAGGGTCGTGCGGCCCAGGCATGGGTAGTGGAAATGGGGAAAAGTGGAGAGAAGAGAAGGGTGTGACTAAAGAGATGGGACATTTCCGAGCCCCGAAGATTGAGAATCCATCCTCACGTCTCCAGGCTGAGGACCTCTCTCTGAGCTGCCCCTCTCTGAGCCCTCACGCTTCTGTGCTTCACCACCCACCCCACTTACCCTCCACCACCACCCAGAAATGGCCGCTGTGGTTTTTCTCATCATATTGCTAATATGCAATCTTTTTTATGGTTAAAAAAAAAGGTAATAATCTCAAGAAATAATACGCAGATAGACTGAGTATAAACAGATGCACTTTTTTCAGATGTCTATTTTTGGGGAGAGTCTCTGGAATTGCAAGTGGGTGTATGTTTGGGAAGGTGGGGTCCATAGGATGAAACAGATGCGTTATATCGTGGTTCTACAGAGTGAAGTTTTGCGAGGTGACAGGGTAGCAGTGAGGCTGCTGCCACTTAGATGTGTGTATACGGGTGGAAAGAGAGTAATGTTTATAAAGTCTGTTCATTATATTCTGACATTTCATATACCACAAAGAATGGGGGAAGCTTGGGGGGGAAGACCCCATTATATTTTTATAAGTCTCTTTTTTGTTTTCCTTTTTGGTGCTTTGTTTGGCTTTAACATTTAAGAACGTTAGTCAAACGTTTCTCTCTCCTTCTAACTCTGAAGTGCCAGAACTATCCAGATAGCTAGGGATATCGTGGGACAGTTCTGGGGGAAAAGGAGAGAGCCTGCGAAGTGAACTGCAGGGCGTGGGGGAGCCCGCTCAAGGACACAGATGTTCACAGATGAATTAGAGGGGAGCTCTGTCCAGCAGCCTCTGGCCCACCCTCTGTCAACACCACTGCACCTGAAACGACTGCACTATGGCTTGTGGCATCCTCCCTGCTATGGCCCGTGACCAGAATACTGGGGTTACATTTCTTTCTTTACACTTTAGAGGAAAAAAGTGGTAGGTAGCTGGTGAGACACAGCTGACAGTCAGTCGTACTGAGGCTTGGGGTTCACTTGTGCCTTTAGAGTATCCCCAACTTAGGGCAGGACAGAGATGAGACACTGGGAACCTTAACTCCTCCCTAAAGCACCTTCCCCAGGGGAAGTTTCTCCCATTCCCTATGCCCATAACTAATGCCCATAGAAGCCCAAAGAAGCAGGTTAAGACAAGATCCAGAGGTGACTGAGGTAAAGAAAATGCACTATGCAGCCGAAAAAGGATTTGGCTTTGTGGCTTTAATGAAAAAGCTGTTTACATCCAAGTTCCAAGGTTAACCAATCATTGCCTTCCCTTCTCTTGGCCTGTGTAGACCAGAAAACCAAACTGTATTCTAGCCGGAGGATGTGGGAGGGAACCCGGAATCCTTTTTTCTAAGAAGCATTGAGGAATGGGAGCCAAGTGAGTAGGAGTCTCTCATGTAAGACCATCCTTTTCCCCACCACTAACATGTGTCTGAAGGAGGAAAAGTTAAATAGAGGGACTTGAACAAATACTACCAGTTCAAGACTAAAATATCAGCCTTTGAACTGCTATTAGCACCTTTCATGAGCACTATATTCACTTTATTTAAGGGAGAGGGGAAAAAACCCTCAATTCTCAAGTGGTGCATGGGTCTCTGGAAAGGCTAACATCCCCTTTCACTAGCACTTTTTTCAATTTAGGGGGCAAATCATTTTTTAATTTAAAAAAATTAAAGAACCCATTCGCTCTACTTTACTCACTATTAGACTAAATTCAGAATGTCTGAAGTCTAGGTGATCAGGCAACAAATGCGCTAGGCCACTATCAGGAACTAAAGACAGTACCAATTGTTCTAAGACATTTTTCCTCCATTCAAACTGCAAAATCACACCGTACTCCTTGTATGAGGTGTCTGGAATCTCCTCAAGACAGAGAAATCACTGGGCCATTTGCCCAACCTGTGCTGGATCCTTGAACTTCTGCCACAATAATCAACCTCTGTGCCCACTGGGCACTGCCAGGTCTAGCTGATAGTACCCAACAGACAACAGAATCATCTCTCTGAGACACAGAGGGGATCTTCTCTCAGACTATTCCAAACACAGCATCTCTCATAGAAAGTAAATGTGAGCGGATGCATGACAGCAGTGAAAAGAAGAATGTGAATTTTAGTCCTGCCACCAATATGCTGGGTGACCTCGGGTAAACCACTAAGCTCTGGTTTCTCTAAATACATAATGGGGAGAGTGGTACAGGTGATTTCCACCTCCCTCCTGGCACCGACTGCTCTATGTGCTTGAACTGGTCTATAGGAAGTTCACACAACAGGAAGTTTAAGGTCACTTTGATTTCTGAACTCTCCGGTGGCTATGAATATACATATGCACACGTATATGGACACACACAATTCTTGTTGCCTTTCTTTGGACAATTTGCAGATTTGTTTTTCCTTTCGCTCCACTTTATCAAAGGTGAACAAATGTGGGGAAAGAACACCAATCATTATAATGCCAAAAATCCCATCAGGAATGAGGAATGGAGCATATGCTCAAGGAGAACACGTTATCATTAATGTGTACTGTAGTAAGGATTTAGCAACTAGTTACATGGATTTCATCATTACAGAAAATCAAACTAGGTAATTTAAGCCCAATATCTTTTTAGTTGGCTTTAACAAAAAGGGCAATACTTCCTTAATTTCCTCTTCAGTTTGTGCACAGAGGACATCATGCCTTGGGACTACAGATGCCAAGGGCTACAGTACAGAGAAAACTAATTTAGGTATAATGAGTGGTTTACTGGTTTTCAAACCCTTATGTATATAGACCAGTATTTATTTCTGCATGAAGGAAGAACTGGATACTGGCAGAGACGAATGGGTGATTTCACCCACCTCCCAAACTCCTAGGAGCCAAATTTAGGAGAAAGTGATTAAGCAGATAATAATACCAATAACTTCTTATCTATTAGTTTACAACATGTCTCATTTTTCAAGAGCAGCAAAATAAATGGCTCAGCTCTGCCATCCTCTGGTCCTTTCAAATATTCAAGAGTCCATTCTTGACTAACGCTACAGGGAGTGACTAAGGACAGGCATGAAGAGAACAAAAAATGTGTGTGTGTATATGTGAGAGAGATACCTTGAACTTAACTCTATTTTTAGTTTGTCTACAAAGACAAAAGGTCATTTGATCCGAATTATTTCTTCTTCTAAGCTGTCAATAAATAAGAAATGTACCCCTCTAAGAAGTTCACCAATATTTTTCATAGGCTACTTTTTTCATACTGGGGAGAAAATACATATGATGGGAGATGGTTCCTTTCTTTGAAAGTATGTGCTTTTATGAACGTCATTAAAAAGAGATGAGATGGTGTTTTGTGAGGCTCGATATTGATTGCAGAGTAGATTGGTGCCCCAGCTAAGCTGGTACCATCGCTGATAACAGTCTTGTGAAAATTAGATTTCTTAGTTAATTGCAACACACCAAAATTGAAGGAAGTTATCATGTCTGCAGTAAGTGCCTCCTTAGGAGAAGAAGCTGGCAAGCAGCAGGTACAATCTGCATCAGCTTTAGGACTGGGGTGGAGATCTGGATGTGCAGATATTCCCTAGTCTGGCTGGAAGCCCAGCCCAGGGACGATGAATACCACTCTGGAAGCTATCAGATTTATTCAACGAGCACCTTCTGCACATTCAGAAGGCTGCCCTCTACCCTAACTCTGAAGAGGCAGGCAAGATGAGGTTTCCTCTGTGAGCTATGGTTCTCAGGTTGACCAAAAGGTTTGCACTCTGAGGGGCTGGTAAGGTCTGCTGAGAAACAGACCAAACAGGGAACAGACCAAAAATTCTCTAGCAGGGAAAAGCTAAAATATAATTTAGCTGTTTTTTCTTCCACTAAGTCCCTTCTCTCAGAAACCAACTCCTGAAATTTAAATGAAGAACCCTCCTATTTTCCTGCAGCTCTAGGAAGCCAGAAACAGGAGCTTATCCTGACCAAGGAAGGAGTAAAAGACACGCTGTGTTTTGATTGAGCTGGGCTGCTCTTAACTACTTGTAGCACCGTGAGGCAAAGCATATGTTGCAAAGGCTTTGGTCTCAGAGTATCCTGAAATCCCAATGGATAGGAAGAACCTCCGTGGATAGGCTGAAATTCCTGTCGTAATGAGGAACTTTTAAAAAAATCCCTAAACACTGCCCTCCCCACCCCAGCCCAATGGTTAAGAGAATGAAAGCAATGACTTCTTTCTCACTGTCCCAGTTAAAGATCTCAGAATGTCAAGGAGAACGAGGGCAACGTGCCAGCACCTCTCCCAGGCCTGAGTAACCTAGAATCTTGAGGGCCCAGACTAGATGATGACTCCACCAAGTTATTATCCTGTTGTTTCCTTAAGGATTTCTCAGGCTGTAAACAGCAATGGCAGTAGATAAGTTTGCTCATACGTGGGTGCTATTTCATGCTGTTTTGATGGAGCTGTGTGGTTATTTAAAGCAATAATTAAGGTGCTTTATCATTCTTTGGAACAGCAAAGTGAGTTCCAAGGTAGCAATTATTGCCCAATAATTTTTAGGATCATTAAGGCTTCTTCAGCTAGCGTCCAGACCACTCCTTCTCCCTCTTCGCTCTCCACCCCACCAATGCCTCCTCTCACTGCCTCCGTCAGCATCCCTGTTTCATCAAGCTGTGCATCTTGTTTTGTGAAACCCAGCTCTGCCAGATATGCTGATGTATTTCTGAGGGGGTGGAGAATGGGATGCTAGGATGGGGACTAGAATGGACTAGTAGCTCCTGTCTCATTTGTTTTAAGGCTGTGATTTCTATTCTTCCTCTTGCATTTTGAAATTTCAATGTTCTGGAAAATTTCCACTGGAACACTGGGTCGAAAAGTCAAACCACAGAGAATGGCAAGCCAAAAATATACCCTTCAGAGAGCCCAGTGATGAAAATTATATTCTATGTCAGGCCATTAACCAGCTGTAGACCAACACCAGCTAATTAACCAACTAACTAATAATGGGGATGAAAGACATTCGCTGGCGACATACAGATTCCAAGCAAGATTGGGTCTTCCATTCCCACAATTGCCCTGCTTCCCAATTCCCCGCATTGCCTTGTTTTAGGGCTGCCTTTCTTCAGATTCAACTGTTTTCTTATGCAACTTCAAAACCCAGTGTTCTATTTAAACACACCTGCCTCCTGAAGTAGACAGAGGTCAATGGGAAGTGGGTCCTCGTTCTGGCGCTACCTCAGGCTCATCATGGAAACATGGGTAAGCTACTCCACCTTCCTTGGCCCAATCACCCCCCTGTAAAAAGAGGGAGTTGAAGGAGATTTATCACAGCCAAATTCTGGATACTTTGATGGGTTGAAGAAAAGAGCATACTGTGTGTTGTAAAAGGTTTCACTGTTTCCGCATTTCAGTGTCAGGCTTGGAACCCCATCCCAGGCCTGCCCAGAAGGCAGGTAGGAAGAAATTAAGAAAGAAGAGGGTCTTGGTCCTCAAGGAGATTACAATCTTACTTTTCCGGCAGTGAAAGTCTAGTTATTTCACAGTACTGATAAACTAGCTTCTCACCTGAGAATCCCATCCAACATCAGGACAATATTCCACTCTGTATTTTAGCATATATGTCCTGTGAAGACTGTACCCCATTTCCTATGGCAGTTGTCTGAATTCTCTCTGCCAGAGACTCTGGAAGGATCAAAGAGAAACGCATCAGAGCAGAACTTATGAAATATCCCTGGGGAAATAACTGCAATGACTCCAAGTCCCCTCCCAGCCTGTCCCCCCCACACCGTTTAATCATAACAAGAAAATTCCAGCAAGACTTAGGAATATTTTCCTCTGTCTCTATTACTCTAGTTCCAGTTACAGGCAGAAAAAAAATGGGACTGCTGCAGACCACTGGGGAGGTTCATCGAAATTCGTAACACTAACTAGGTTATACTAAGAAAGAGAAAAAATATTATAGCAAGTATGGCTGGAGTTGAGCCAGCCCTCTCCAATCGCCCCCCACCCCCAAACAAACCTCACCCTCACAGCGATGTTCCTGAAATTGCTTCCACACGCCTGTAGCTCCAACAAACACTCCTTATAATCAGAAAACACTGCTCCTGTCTTTCCCAACAGGGATGTGTTTATGGTTTATAGCAATAGAATCTCTTCAAAATATTTATAGGGTGACATTATGACAAATGATCTTCACTCTCCCTTCATCTGGCCCTGAAATTAATGAGAATATTGCAGATTGAACTTTTTTCGGGTTCCAAAGTTAAAAATAAATTAATAGATTTCGCATAAGATAATAAAATAGAAACCATAATGTTTCCATTAGGAAACCGTTTCCTACCCCTGCTCCCCGTCACCATATAGCCACTTCCTTCTTTGCCCCTGAAAGATTCAACCCAGGGATATTTAAAAAGACCTCTAGAATGGATAGATGTGTGATAAAACAAATACAGTGAAATGGTAGTTGTATAGTCTGGGTAGTTAATATAGAGTCACTGTAAAATTCTTTCCTATTTTCCCCTCAGTTTTCCTATCTGTAAAACAGAAGTACTGAATTAGTTGAGCCTGACGAGTTTTCCCAGCTGTAAAGTTTTTGTTGTTTTCTTTAAAGGCCACTTCTCCAGTTGCCTTATAGTTGCAGAAAAAACATAAAGACATCCCCAGACTCTAAGGTGATCCCACTCTCCCTTTTCTCCTCTCAGCTTTTCTCTCTAAACCCACTTGTGATTTTCCTGGTGCACTGGAAAAGCCACGAGCTTCAAGTTAGAAGGCTGAAACGCAAGTAGGCAAGTGATCTTGAGCAAAACCATCACCTCTCCAGCCCTCAGTTTCTATATATTTGGGGATAATGTTCACATCACAGACCCACTGTCTCGATAAAATGACATAATGAATGCTAACTCCACCCCCTTGATGTAAACCGTAGAGCATTTCCATTATCTCAATCTCTCTGAAGCTCCTTATCACTTCTTCCTGTTTGCCAGAAGAGGTCACCAGAAATCTTTCTTTCAGAATTGAGGCTGGCTCCCAAAGGGCTAAATCCACCCGCCCTGCAGAGCAGCTGATTCAGTGACACTGCATGACTAGCCCCAAGGATTCTCACTGGCGAATTACACCACACTTGCCTCAGAGCCTGAACACACACTGAGAGACCTAAATTCTAGAACCGATTCCACTTACCAAGCACCTGCATCCCTTTTTCCCATGGATACCATGAGTACCAGCTAAATAGAAGCACCATATTAAGCTCTGTGAATAGTGGTCACTCATACGTAGACCATTAAGAGATTATGAGCAAACCTTGAATATCGCAATAATATTGTTGAGCACCTACTGTATGTCAGTCTCTTTAAATTATATAACTTATAAATTACATAATTCTCACAATGGCCCTAATCCTATTTCTCCTTTTATAGATCAGGAAACGGCTGCTCAGAAAGCTTATGTTACTAGCCCAAGTCACAGCCTTGCGGAAGTTTCACATCATTGGAACAGGCATGACATGTTGACCTCATCTGTTTTTGACTTCAACAAATTACTTCACTCTCTGTGACCTTAGTCACCTGCCTGTAAAAAGCTCTTATCTTCCCAAATTGTTGAGTATAAAATCAAGTAATTGATGTGGTAGTTTACATTAAAATAATTTAGTTTAGTTTACATTAAAAAGCAGTATATTGAAGAGACATTAGTTTAACTCAAATGTATCTTCTAACTGATAAAGCACATGGTTCTTTTTGCCTAGGTACATTCCAATACACATAAATCTAACCTCCTGTAACCTGTTATGTGCCAAGGCATACTATCTTGTACTAGACTGGAAATCAAACATCTTCTAGATCAAGAACCAACCAAGACAATCCTTGGCCTTCCTCTTCTCAGAACTTGGTAATGAACAATGAATATAAATCAGCCCACCTTAAAAGGCTGAGAGCCTACTAATCCAGTTTTTGGTACATGAAGGATTTGGAATTGATATGGGGCCATTTTCTGGCTAAAGGAATTGTGGAGGAGAGCAAAATGAGTAAACAACAGGGCAGAACGGGAATAAATGGCATTTGGGGGACCACGAGAACTCCTTGTCTGTAGTCTTGCATGAGAGGTCACTGTGTCCTGGAATGGCTTGGATTTGGCTGGACTCCTGCGTAAGGACTAGAACTTTTCTGAAAGTCTTTCCTAAGTCTAGAATCCCTCTAAAACAGTCACTCAACTAAGAACCTACTACAAACAATACAAGGCATAGGAACCACAGATAAGCACCATCCCTAACTACAGAACTTATATTTAGTGAAGTGAGATGTGATATGGATAGGAATAACTAATTCAAGAGAAGATCTCATAACAGATGAGGCAGAGAAAGAATTCAGGACAGGTCTCTTGGAGGATGGGACATCTGAGCTCAGACTCTAAACAAAAAACTATTTTCCACAGCAGTTTACTTTTTAGATTTATGTTAACTGTAGTCTCACCCACCTTTGAAAGTGTTAAACACAAGGTAACCACTTCCCCCAAGCAGCTGCGGAGGTAAAGACGGAGCAACTGTTTATATGAGGTACCACAGAAACAAGAGTATTACAAGTGGCAGCCTGACCAATGTTCCAATAAAGGAGGGCCTTCTAACAGCTCTTGACTCCTATCCAGGCTCTGGAAATTAAGTGGGAAAATAAAATCATAGGTAAATATGTGGACGTAACCCTCCCCCACACACTCAAAAAATATATATTAGTAAGCTACTGCTTGTCTCCAAGTCCTTTTGTTCCTGACTTAACAATCGCCTAGGTAACTTGATGTGTATAATCTAGCCAGACCAGTTCATGGGGGTAGGCTTCTTCTTACTACATTGCCGAAGTCCCTTTTGGCCTCATCCATGACACTTCAGCTGCATCAAGTTTGGCGTCTGGCCTAACAGAACCATCAGCTACCAGCAGTGACACCAGAAAGGTCTTGGCGACCGCTCTGAGGACCAGGGCCACTCCTTCTGTGCAGCTCTGGATGCTGGTGAGCAAAGTGGCGCTCTGAATGGACCCTGTTTAGTGACCACAAGTCAGGTTCAGCGGGTCTCCTGGCAACTGTTAAGTACTTGCCTTTGGATGATTTTTCAAAATGTCTCAGCCTAGAGAAAGCAGCTTAACCCTTCAAGGTTTTAGCTGAAAGCTCAAGGAGGAGGTTTCAAAAGAAAGTGTCATAGCCAGGGCTAGAATGTACATATTCTGTGCAGGTTTTCTATCAGCTTTGTGTTTTTAACCTCCCTGCACCTGCCTGTCTCCACCTACCTGCTCTTTATTAAATCTACTGTGGCAAGACAGTGTACAATGAAAGCAGGGCATCAGAATAAAGCAGACCTTCTTTTCCTACATCACAGGAGGGGCTAATAGAAGTACCAAAATACTTGGTACTTACTAATAAGTAAGCAGCTTGGTACTTACTAAGAAGTACCAAAATACTTGGTACTTACCAATACTTGGTAATACTTACTAATGTGAAATGCAGGAAATACGTGACAAAGGAGGGTACCACGGACCATGCAGAAAATAAAACATGATATGTTTCACGGCTTAAGAGCCATTTGAGCAGTAGCAAGATTAAAAAACATGGGAGATTTTGACGGATGGTATGAGTATTCCAGCAGAAGGAACATGAGTAAAAAATATGGAGGTAAATAACAAGAGGCACAATATAAGGCACAGAGACTATCCATTCGGCTGAAGTCTAATGAACGGTAGGCATGTTTGGAAAGACAGACTTGGAATGCATCAGGACAACCTTAAATGTAGAATAAAGGGTCAGGACTCTATTGAGTATGTCAGTTCTCAAAGACAGACCAATAGGATACTCCCTCATGGTTTGCAAAGCAGTTCATCCAATCCCCTCTCTCCATTAACTGATACTTCCAGCCTAATTCAAATTTACCTGTACTTTGTTGCAGGGAACTTGCCTTTCCCTTCATCTCAGCAGCAGATATAGTTAATACCCACTAGAAATTCACATCTTCTAGGACATCATCAATTCAAGCCAAGTATTATGCATTTAGTTTGTGGTAGGTAGGCACTAGAAAGGGGACAATAAAGGTACAGTAGAGTCATGGTTCTACATTCAGCTCACTATTCTACAGTGATTCTGAAAAAAGTTACTTCTAGAGTTTCTTCTTTTGTCAAATCTCAAACCAAGGCAATTCTTAGTACAATGTAGCTATTTGCAATGAAGAGATTGTGATCCTAGTACTATTACATTTTGTTGATCTGAAATATTAAACAGAGATGACCTAGAAGAAAAGAATAATCTAGCATGTCCTTTTTATTTTCAGCTGTAACTAAAATGATTCTCCCAACCCAAAGAGCATCTATTCAAAGGACGAAATCATGACTATAAAGTAAAAAGGGTACGGAGCGTGAAAATGTCAAATATGAATAGAAAAAAAAAAACAGACAAAACGTAACTGGTTTTTAATAAGTCACTGCTTGTGGAAGTATGTAAAAAGAATAATTTCTTTCAGAATGATTTGCCTTTCTTTAGAAAGAATATTTTTGGGAAAGAGAAGGTTAGTATTACCTATCCTAGTAATAGATGAAAGACTGCCCCACATCTTTTTTAGAGTGCTTATATATCAAATAATCAATTTGCTAAACTGTTTTTTCCATGTTAGATATATATTTCTACCACATTTAAAGGTGTACTACGCTCAACATGCCATTTAGCCAGAATAGTATGCAAGAGACAAAAAAATTGGACATTCCCACAATGCATTTCAGAGTATTTAAAATTCAGACTATTTCACATTTTAATGGTTCAACCTTCCAATACGTGATCCATTATGATATTTTCAGCATAAACAACAGTTAAAATGAGATGAGTGAATTAAATCCCAAAGGGGTGTGTCTTGCTACTTAGTATACTGGACACAGATTAAATACCTACCCAATGTGATTCTTGCACATATTAAACAAAAGTACAACTTTCTCAAAAAAAAAAAAATTTTTTTTAAAGCAAGTTAAATAGCCGAGTTCTACTTTCAAGACAAACATACCAAGGACCTCAGCAGCCTCCAAATAAGTTTGAAAAACGACACAATATACATCTTCCCTGCTGTAATTAGACTTGAGGTGTACAACATGAACTACAAAGTGACCAAGACAAAACTCTTAACGCTTTTAAGCCTCTCAGCAAGGTTGCCAAAGGGGATCCACATGTCTCATTGTCTGGATCAGTCCAAAAGTGCTGTATCTAGAACCCATGCAAATTACTGCAATGTAAATAACTAGTGTCAGTTTGGGTGAAACGCAGTTGGAAAGGATACTGACTGCTCACTTTCTAAGTGTTCAAAACATACTAAAGTGCTCCCAAGTCACACATTATTTGGTCCTCTCCCAGAACAAGCCATTTCCAGAGACCTCATTCTCAAACTTGACTGACCCAGGGAACCCACGGGAGGAGACGAATTACCTTGCAGCCACAGTTGTTGTGAATACCCTGGGCCCTACTTGGAAACTGGCCCATAAAGAATTGGGGACGAACATGACTACTTGATATCCAATTCACAGCTAAGACAACACTAATGAAAAAGCAGCGTTAGACTGATCTAAAACACTCCAAAATGAGTGGTAACATCATCAAATAAAGGCTCAAAGTCAGTCACTGTATTTTACTTACATAATTTATCTTAGATTTAATTTTTTTTTGTTTTTGGACAATTCATCCACTAAAATGGGCCAGTCTCAAGAGTTGCCCCCCAACCTTGCCAAAGCAAATGACTTCTGCATAACTGGAAGTCATCTCCAAACATCTGCCCATGTTTTCCCTATTTTACCCATTTGGTATTTGCACAAAAAATATGCCCTTTGTCTTAAAAGTTGCCTGACTTGATGTTTAGGCAGAAGAGCAAATCCCATGTTACGATATTTCTGCAAGTGATTTTACATTTCCTTTTTTCCAAAAAGGTAGCTGCCAACTTAAATGTATGACACAGTGGGGACAGAAGTTGATTATTAACTTTCAACAACTCCAGGGGTCGTTACCTGAAACCTCACACTTTGGTTCATTACACTTTAACTATTCAAAAAGTTACCTTAACCCCAAAGAACAAAAAGGCACTGTTTAGTTCTTCAGGTCACAATGCCATCATTGGCTACACAGTCTGTTACAGCTAAGACAAATGCAAATTACAATACTTTGGCGAGATGTAAAAACTATGCTGGGCTGGGCAGTGTTAGTTAAGCTACGAAGTGCTTGATCACCCATGATGGAAGAGGTTCAAGATGATTCATACTTCCCTGTAAGAGACTACGAAAGTCACGAGCCCACAGAGCAGTAACTGACAGTTGGCCAAAGTAGAAGACATTTCTAAGTAACCTGGGGACATCTTAAACAATTAACTGGCCTGGAAATTTGGGTGAGGATTAGTCACAAAGCTCCTCATCCTCTCCTGGAAGAAAATGTGACAGTATGCCTTTTCTATGGAAATTTCTTTGTATATGTGTATACACTTGGTATGGCCTTAATGCTGCAGTTAAGGATTTGTTTGGCTACCACCTTAAGCAGCATGTTAAGCAATCGCTTCCTACTGTACCTTTCTACTTCTCACTGGACTCTTCACCTTGAACAACCAATTAATTCCCCTTTGTCCCTGATTCTTCCCCATTTTTTGCATGAAGTCATAAATGTTATGGCAGTTATTTTTTGGCTTGTTAAAAAAAATCTATTTCTGCAGTTTGAAGATGGAATGTAAAATTTCTGTGATACATGTATATAAAAATATATTTATTGAACCATCCATATACACATATCCATGCTGATTCCAATGGAAAAAAAATTAAAGTTTTTCTGAAATTTTCCCTGTGGTTAACTCACAGTTGTTACTAGTTAACCGACTTTATATTAGGAGAACTTTTGAAATCTCCCCATTACCCGAGAGGAACCTACATATCATCTGGAAAACATCATTTCACTTAAGACAAGGCTTTACGCTGTTCATTCAAGATATATTTATTGATAGGTGCTATGGGAGATACAAAGATGACTCAGACACAGATCCTGCCCATAAGGAGCTTACAGTCTAGTAGGGAGGATAGAACACATACATGGGATACATGGTCAGAGCTAGGTTTCAGTAAGATGTATCTAATATCATGTAGAAAGTAGGCTGGGAATAAGAAGAGGTCAAGGAAGCTGAGAGGCCACTGAAATTATCTAAGTGAGGAGGAAGATGTGAAAGACTGCTGAGGTAGAACTGACAGGACTTAGCTGGACACTGGAGTAAGTAAGGAAACAAGAAGCAGATGACTAAGACTGAGTCTAAGGTGACTAAGACGTAAGTCTAAGGTGACTTAGACTTATGGCATGGGTGATGACAAACTGAGAACAGAGTAGGTTTGGGAATTGAAATTTGGCGCATACAATTCTTGTGCATAGACACAAAGTGCCCAGGATATACTGCGCACAATCAGAAAGAAATAGCTAAGGGCCCAGACCGGGGATGGAAGTACTTCAAAATGACCAGTGACTTCCTCCCTCCTCTGCCCACCCCTCAAAATTTCCCAACAATCCCCTCCACTATGAAATGCACAGGGCCTATAATTTACTGAATTAAGTCTGGTCTCTAGGCATGCCTCCCTTGTGAGAAAGAAAACAGAAATACATTAATTTATTAATTGAGTGAATCATCATTTACGGATGCTTTCATGTACCTCCAGGAGGAAGGAGGAATAAAGAGATTAATCCTCAAGTCCTTGTCCTCCAGGAGATTATGGTCTCATAAGGTAGGTCTGTTCTAATTCTAGGTTGAAGGGGTAAGTTATTAGCTAAGAGAAAGGTATAAAGTATTCTAGGAGCACATTTTAAAGTGAAGGTTGGGACAGAATTTCAAACAGGAGGGACAATGTGTAAGGAAAGTAGATGAGAATAAATTTGTTCCTCACTTCAAATTCTGCACAAATCAACTCCTAAAAGGGGGCTACCCTCTCGTAAGACATCTTTTCTCTTAGGGGAGAAAAAAAAAAAAGCTCAAACTAGGCCTTGAAAAAAATGGCTTTGATGGTAAGAGATTTGGGAGAGATGGGGGTGGTGAGGAGAATGCAGATGCAAGTCTATCTTCAGGGAAGTGAAGGCACTTGAAGCCACGGAATCAGCCATACCTGGCTTGTTAGAGGAACCGTTAAGTAGTTCAGCATGGCTGGAGCATCCTTTCACGAAGTACAGGGAAAATCAGTGGAAAGGAAGATTAGGACCCTGATTCAAACACGGTGCTGCCAGGCACTGAACAGGGTACATGCCTAAGACCAAATTGCTGCCCCTTAGGAGCTTACAGTTATAACAATACAAGGTGGAAAAAGCACCACAATGTACAGAATGCAAAATGCTGAAGGATTTAGGAGAAAATTACAGCTGAGTTTCAGCTATTAACACATTAGGATACCCAATAGCTTTCTGACAGCTAGTAGTAAACCCATCCCTGAGGGGAACACAGTTAATGTCCTTACTGACAACAGGCCCTGGTAGAATTGGGCATTAAAACAGTTCTAAGAAAACAGAAAACTTGGGTATGAAAATGGAGCTAATGAAGCAACGGAGTAAGCATATAAAATGTGGCTCCTTCCCTTTTCTCCCCACATGCTACCCTTTAACAGCTCTGGCTTACAGAGCGAACATAGGGCAGGACTGGCAATTCCCGAATGTGCTTTAAGCTGACTTGAAACTCTGTACTAGTAATCTGGGCCATCTATCTTTTGAAAACTTAAGGGGTTATACAAATCACCTTAGTCCTTTCCAGCACTAATATTCTAAGAATTACAGGAGTCTCCTGTTTCTTGTGGTAACCATCAGTATGGGAAGAAAAACTTTATGGAACTATTCTGATGTTTCTCACTTAAAATTATGATTTTTTTCTTTTATATAAACCGTAAATGATTCCTATCCCATCAGCTAAGTTCCATGCCCACCCCACTCTTCTTCAAAACCAACATCTACCTATACGAATTTATTTTTAACATCATGTGTTCTGCATAATCTAGAGTGTACAGTGAATCTTTAAAGAAACGAAGTCCCTTCTTCTTTCCTACATCCTTATGTCTTCATTTAAAAGGCCCAAATCAGGGTATATACGCTCCTCATAAAAACATTTAAGAATTTAAACCAAACCCAAAGTCAAACAGGTGACAACAAAGCTTAGGGAGATTATCAGTAACCAAAGTGGTTAATATAGCAGTAGTTAAAACTGTTTATATACATATTAAATGATACAACCATCCCTCTAACTACAACCAATAATACAGGCAAACTTCCCATAAATGGGTTTCCGAAAAATAAATACCTGCTAAAGTAATTCAACAGTGAATTTTTGGTAAGCATTGCTTACTTTTTTAAAAAACAAAAACACATTGGATACGAGTCCCTTAGGAATCTGTGACACTGGACATATTTCGAAGTAATAAACACATATGGATTTCTGTAACTATTCAGGTCACATGGTTTATGGAAGTAAGAGGAGAAATGATTTCTAATACTATTTTATTTTCCTCTCACTGGGAACTAGAAAAAGCTACCAGGTTCAAGTGGAAACTGGAAGAGAGATCGACTTCAAAAGTCATGCAATCAAAGACAGAGGCTTCCCTGGTGGCGCAGTGGTTAAGAATCTGCCTGCCAATGCAGGGGACAGGGGTTCGAGCCCTGGTCCAGGAAGATCCCACATGTCGCGGAGCAACTAAGCCCGTGAGCCACAACTACTGAGCCTGCGCTCTTGAGCCCGCGAGGCACAACTGCTGAATCCCGTGCACCGGAACTACTGAAGCCCGCATGCATAGAGCCTGTGCTCCGCAACAAGAGAAGCCACCGCAATGAGAAGTCCGCGCACCGCAACGAAGAGCAGCCCCTGCTCGCCGCAACTAGAGAAAGCCCGTCCGCAGCAAGAAAGACCCAACACAGCCAAAAATAAATTTAAAAAAAAAAGGAAAACAACTTTGATTCTAAGCCAATACATAAGCATAATCATAAGCAAAACTGGTTAAGGGCTGTAGGCCACCTTTAATCAACTTCTCACTCAACTCAGGCCATTATGAAAGACTGCTTCATGAGAGCATGAGCAAAGCAGTCTAATTTCAGCATCATCCTAAGTTAGATACATACCTACTAAAAAGAATGAAAATAAAAGTTTTATCTCACACGTGCCACCATTTCTTCTTTAATTCAGTCTAGCAAGAGTTCACAAGCCTATCTATGGTCCCCAGAACCTCGATATTAAAGTAAACAAATTCTAAAAGGTATTACTACCTTAAAACCACAAATCCTTGTTTAATTATCTACTACAATATGGCCATTACTTGATGAGCAACTTTAACCTACAACCCCATCCCACATAAGACATTGCTAAGTTGCTAACACACTCTTTAAGGTTTCTAAAACATTTGCGAAAGTACCTCTAACTGTCCACTGCCCATCTGTGGTATATTATATTAGGCAGTTAGCTAGAACCCCAATTTCAAATAAATGCTGAACTTGCTTCTTTTACAAGGTTCAAAATTGCTAAACTGAAACTTCAACAATTATCTAATTTGTATGCAGTTCCTGCACAGATTCTTTCAAGTAGCACAAAAATAAAACTTTAATATAAAAGATATTTTTAGATCAGTAGATTTGACAAATGCAATCATTTACTTAAAATAAGCCACAACATGAACAATGGTCTACAAATTTAAACCTCATAGAAAGAAATTTTCATATGGATTCGAACAAATTGTTTTCTATAAAGTGCCACGTTTTCCACTAAATCATTCAACTCTACAAAGGTTTTCAAATATAAAAGGGATGAAGAAAAGCATCAGAGGATGGCAGTTATAAGCAAAACACAACTGTTATAAACTCATCTGTATGATGCTGATAAAAATATTACTTCCATATCTAGATTAAATTGTATCAAATGTATTATCAAACCAGATGAGAAAATAATCTTGTAACTCAATATTACTGTGTTACCATACAGTCTGCAAAGCCCTACAAAATCAATGTTTATGCATCTACTTTACCCTAAAGGAAATGGAGAACAGTAATGCTAACCTTGATCCGAATGTTTGCAGACTCAAGTCTCTATACTGTAGTTATTTCATGCCCTATGCCCCTAATGTCATTCAAATATAAATAGGTAGGCATTATGGTTTTAGAGAAAAAGCAAGAGTTTTGGAAGCCAATCTGCTCCTAAGCTACATGGATGACTTTGAGGCCTCTGATGTCATTTCTTCATCTATTACTTTGGGAGAAATCGCACCTAACCCACAGGGTTATAGTTGTGAAAATTTAGTTGTCTAACCTAAAACTAAAGTGCAATTCAACTAACACTGTGGTAGTAACCTACTCATCCAAAGCCAAATAAGTATTTTTGCATTATCCATTTCACCGCTCCACAGCAACAGCTCAAAAAGTTGAGAACACAGGAGACACAAGTAAAGCCCAACCTCAGCATAAAAGCAAACAAAATTATTTTTGTACAACCAAGATCTATTTATTTTCAACAGATCTTAAAAGAGACCCACTGAACCAAACTAGTCTTACCTAGCTAAAATATTCATGGGTGAATTAAACTCAGTAAAGAACTGCATGTTGGGCCATTCCTACAGATGAAAAATTATGTTGAATGTGATGAGTTGATGCTGTCTACAAGAAAATCTTGCCCTAATCTATTTTATTTTCACTCTTTAACTGTGAAATATGTGAATATATGTGTATCTAGGGTGACATGTCTATTCCATCAGCAATAATGTAATCGATGATAGCTGGATACTTAATAGTGTTAACCATGACACTAAATCCTATTTATAAAGTCCAATGCTAATCAAAACACCATAATATCCCAATTATGATAACTTGAAATTATTGAAGCAATCTTTTCTTTTCTGAAATTATGCAGTAATCCCCTGCAATAAATTACAAGCAGCATCTAGTACATTGCTACTACCTCTCCAAATTAAAAATAAAACACACAATTGGTACAGATAAAGGAAAGCTGAGATTATTACTTACAGTAGTTGTTACTATAATTCCTGAGAGAGATTTACTTGCTAATTTGTTTATTTTTCTGAGGCTCTATTTCAGAGGAAGGACAACTTTCACTGCAGTTGCCCTAGTCCACCATTCCACCCACCATGAATTATAGGAGTAGGGACTACCTGTGTTCTCAATGGGGTTGCTTCATTTTCAAAGGGCACTTGGCACCACTGGCCCCCACCCAGCAAACCCTAGATGCAGGGTACGCATCTCCCTCTACCCCCAACCCACCAAAAATCCCACACATTTCTGCATGTCCTCTAGGATATAGTAACAGCCCCAAGTTGAGAAACACTGCACCTAGTTAGTGCCCTTAAAGCTCTGTTCTAAGGAGGAAGAACTTTTTGAAATGTACGGTTTAGTATTCACTTATGAAAAATGGTTTCTAGGTTATCTATAATTTATCACCAAACACTTACTGCAACTCAATTTTTTTCTCAAAAATAACTCAGGCTAAATTTTCTTCTTTCTACCACAAGCTTAATATAAGCTACGAAAGTACAAGCTGAATTTCTTCCAATTATCACTGGCCTGGGCCAAATGAAGTGGTTACCAATTAGTTATTTAAACTGACCCAAAACACAGCCATGTGACTCAGTTATAAAAGTTTCTTTATGTGAAAGAAATGTTGCCAATTTTCAAATATTTGAGGTACTGAGGGTCAACTGATAACATCAAACTTCATTTTAGTTTAAGGCTACACCCTTCAGCAAACCTAGAGTTTCCCAGTAACAGCAAAACAAACATTCCTATTCCTACTAATATTCTATCCTCAAACAATAGTCCTAAAGATGAATACTGTTAAGAAAACAAATAAGTTAAACTTGACAAGCTCATTGCCCTTCGATTAATGACAAGTTATCATGCAAAGGCTTGCTTCACAAATGTGTAAACAAAACCTTCACCCATCTCCCTAAGAGCACTCAACAGTAATATACTATGCAAAACGAGTATTAGTCTATATTGCCAGATTAAATTTTCTTCCAGAAACATTTTAATAAAAATTGGCCATTTCTGGGCTTCCCTGGTGGCACCGTGGTTGAGAGTCCGCCTGCCGATGCAGGGGACGCGGGTTCATGCCCCGGTCCGGGAAGATCCCACATGCCGTGGAGCGGCTGGGCCCGTGAGCCATGGCTGCTGAGCCTGCGCGTCCAGAGCCTGTGCTCCGCAACGGGAGAGGCCACAACAGTGAGAGGCCCGCGTACCACAAAGAAAAAAAAAAAAAAAAAAAATTGGCCATTTCCAAGAAACACTCACTGCATGCCCACCAATAAAAGGGAAGCATAACAAAATAGAAAATTTACCATATGGCTATGATTTAAGAAAAAAAACTAGTGCACACTCAAGCACACCAGCAAAGTCCAATATTAAAGTCACATTCTTTCTTACGGGCCACGATTAGGATTCTGAAGAGACACTGAAATAAAACTTAATACAAATGCTGAACTACTCAGGTCAAAGGACCTCTACAGAAGCATCTGACCTCAAAAGCATTCCAGTTTGAGACTCAATTTCAGAATAAGGCATAACAAATGAACACAAGACATACAGGGTGAAAGAGGGATTCTATAATTCCCAACATACTCTGAACCTAATAGAACAAATCTAAGTTTATTTTTTTTATTATTATTTTTCTTTTAAACAATTGCCAAGACTGGAATCAAAGATAAATAGAAGGCACAACAGTTTTGCTCTGGTTTTGTGTTATTCAGATTTTTGAAATTTTTTGGGGTCTTTTTGGTTTTTTTTTTTAACAAATACAAATTAAACATGAAAAAACTCTACTTCAAAAAAAAAAATCTAACAGTTCAAGAAAAGCTTATCAGTTGCATTCTAGACATTTAAAACCTATCTCACAGTTTAAATTTCAATGGTAAAAACAGGTTTTGGAACTGTTCTGCAACCACGTATCCAAAGAAAAACTCTACTAACACCTTTTATTCAGTTTTTAACCATACCAGAGAGAATCTAAATTGTCAATTTTTCCAACGGCAATTTTTCCACACCAGAAGGTAGTTATGACTCTCAAAGAAGAGACAATTTGGGTTCTTCCTGCCTTCAAAATGTTTATCAAATCCTGTAATTCTCACAGGCTTTTGAAACATGTAGAAAATAAGTAAGAAATATTCCAATGAATGAAACATACCAAATGTCAGTAATAAGCAAGACACATTCCTTTGGGGAAACTGTTAAAAAAAAATCCAGTCTATATGCAAATAAAGCAAGGAAACGCAGTCTTTTTTTTTTCTTCTTTAAAAATCCACTTTTCCTAAAATATCATTCCACAAAACTGGAAGTGAAGGACTAAAAGGTGGAGGGGTGGGGGTGAGAGGGGAAGGAGCACGCACCAGTAACACAAAAAGTAGAATTGTACAAACTTAAGCAGTTTATCATAGACTAGGATCAGATTCCAAGATACCAAAAGGTTGGCTGAAGAAATCACCATTCTGTGGGAGCTAGGGTTTGTACTGCTGCCTGAAGATCGGTGAAGAGCAATTCACTGCCTTGGAGCAATGCCCCTTCCCACTCCAAATCCTGGTTTCTGCACCATGCCTCCACGGGGTGGGCCTCTCATCCCACCACCCAGCCCACCTCGAGGGCCTCCAGGTCCCCGAAGGCGGTTATCTCGGCGGTCTCCTTCCCGGGCGGCTCGAGTCTTCTTTTCTTCCACATTCAGACGGACCTCACCTCTGAACATGATGGGCTGTAAGAACCAAGGTGAACAGACTTACAGAGTGCTTATGGGCTACTGACTACCAAAGACAAAACAAAGCTATAAAACCAAGACAAAACAAGGAACCAGCAGGTTACAAATCACCTACGTGCTCACAGCGCAGTTTTTTGTCTCAAACTCAGAACACATAATTTTCCCACTAACAGATACATGGAAAAGCAGTTAGGTATGCAAGCTAGTTCAAAAGTCAAAAAGTCAATTGAAACAGTGCAGCAGAGTAACTCTCTTTGTACTTATTAAAGCACATCTTATATTCCCACAGAATTATATAAATAGAATATAAATAAAAATTGCCACCTTCTCCATGGATTGGGAGGCTTAGAATAAAATCCCATCATCACCTAATGTGGAAAGACTTTGCTGCACATGTTTATGCAAAGTACATATATGTCTCAAAAACATCATGAATTTCATCTAAATATAATCTTAAAATGCTATTTGCCTGAACAGAATTTGGGAAAATACTGAAGATACTAAAGATACCAGATCTTAGTGCAGGAAAAAAAAGAAACTTCCCACTATGTCTTGGCCTTTCTTTTTTGCCAAGAGAAGTACAGCAAACAAAGGGTTACTCAAGATTCCAATGAACTCAATTTACGCTCCTTGCTGGTACTCAGTGGTTTTCTACTGTAGTATTTTTTAAAATAAAATCTAACAGTACTTACTACGCAGAGAAGTATTCTATATACTTCACTTTTATTATCTCATTTAATCTTCACAACAACCCTTTCAAGGTTGTTAGCACACCTATTTTATAGAGACCAGCAAACTATGCGCCAGGGAGGTTAAGGAACAAGACTGCACGGGTCACAAGGCTAGTGAGAGACAGAAGAGCAATGCAAACCAAGGCATCCTGACAGGAAAGCATGAGCTCTGAACCGACACAGCATGGTCAGACACCACGGTCATATTCTATGAGCTATTTCTGTACTCATAAAAAATTACTGAAGGGGGTTTCCCTGGTAGCACAGTGGTTAAGACTCTGCGCTCCCAATGCAGGGGACCCGGGTTCGATCCCTGGTCAGGGAACTAGATCCCACATGCATGCCGCAACCAGGAGTTTGCATGCTACAGCTAAGGAGTCAGACAGCCACAACTAAGGAGCCCGCCTGCTGCAACTAAGGAGCCAGCAAGCCACAACTAAGGAGCCCGCCTGCCGCAACTAAGACCCGATGCAACCAAATAAATAAATAAATATTTAAAAATTAAGAACAAACCAAAACAAAAAAAAGTCTAAAAAAATTCTGAAGGGATGGTAGACTTCTACCAATACAGTGAGGTGAGGGAAAGGCAAGCTACATCTGAAGTCACCAGAGTTCACAGGAATGATCTGAAAGTGCATGTAAGGAAACATGCATGGGGGTGGGGCGGGGGAGCCTCTTTTGAGCTCTGACTCTAAAGTGAATTTTAAATTCTGATTAAATATATACTTATATTTGTACATTTATAAGTATTTTAACACAAATTTACAAATATTTATACATATATATTTTTTTATATACACAGCATATAAATCACACACATTAATGTGAAGTGCTGTTCCTGGTAATGTTCTAGATACAATGGGAAAAATAAAATCATTTAAAGTCTGAAAGATAAGGAGAGGTTAGGACTGCGGATATTTTAAAAGGTAGTTATAGAAGATACCTCTATGGAGGTATCACAAGGATAGAAGCAATCTGAATGAAAAAAGGTAGCAGACATACAGCTCACTTTCTGAGGAAATTTACCTCAACAATTTCTATGCATAATGATGCCATGCCTTACCCACAGGGGTTAAATGAAACACCAAAGCCCTCATCTTGGATAATTAACTGGAAGCAAGCTATCCGGCCTGACCTTGTTTGGCCCCACAGGAGTATCATACCATCTAAGAAAATACAAAGTCAAGGCTGCACCAAAAAGTGTGGCCCCTGGATCTATTGTACGCTCAATGGTGGATTTACCAACAAAGCCTACTGGACATCTCTGTGTTCAGTATTCTGTGTCCTGAGTGACATAAGCCATATTCTCTCCACACTTCTCAGGGTTTTGCAGGAGATGCTTCACAAAAGTAGTGGTCCAACAGTTTGATAGACAATGCACATTTCAGATTAAGGCTAACTTAATGTTATGACCACAACATTAAACTTTGTAATATACCCATTAACATTCTGGAGAGCATCAGAGGTTCTGGAGAACCTCTGGGAAATAATGATCTACAACATTTCTAACTAACATGGTTAATAAAATGTGTAAGTTTTAAATGGCAGAGACTGAAAGCAGATTAGTGGTTGCCAGGGGCTGGGGAGACAGGATATGGGGAAAAACTGCTCAATGAGTAAGGGACTTACTTTTAATGAAAATGTTTTGCAACTAGATAGGTGATGGTTGCACAACAATGTGTATTAAATGCCAATGAGTTGCACACTGTATTATTATTTTTTTTGCTGTAGCAAGCCTCTCACTGTTGTGGCCTCTCTCGCTGCGGAGCACAGGCTCCGGACGCGCAGGCTCAGCGGCCATGGCTCACGGGCCCAGCCGCTCCGCAGCATGTGAGATCCTCCCGGACCGGGGCACGAACCTGTGTCCCCTGCATCGGCAGGCGGACTCTCAACCACTGCACCACCAGGGAAGCCCTGTATTATTTTTTAATGAAATTTTTTGTTTTGTTTTGTTAATTTGTCTTTGGCCACGCTGGATCTTCATGGCTGTGTGCAGGCTTTTGCTAGTTGCACAGAGCAGGGGCTACTCTTCGTTGTAGTGTGCGGGCTTCTCATTCCAGTGGGTTCTCTTGCTGTGGAGCACAGGCTCTAGGCACATGGGCTTCAGTAGTTGCAGCACGCGGGCTCAGTAGTTGCGGCACATGGGCCCTAGAGCAAACGGGCTTCAGTAGTTGTGGCGCATGGGCTCAGTTGCTGCAGCGCGCAGGCTCTAGGGTACACAGGCCTCAGTAGTTGTGGTGCACAGGCTCAGTGGCTGTGGCTCGCGGGCCCTAGAGCGCAGACTCAGTAGTTGTGGCACATGGGCTTAGTTACTCCGCAGCATGTGGGATCCTCCCAGACCAGGGCTCAAACCCATGTCCCCTGCATTGGCAGGCAGATTCTTAACCACTGCGCCAACAAGGAAGTCTTGAACTTTAAAATGGTTAATTTTGTTATGTGAATTTCACCTCAATCGAAAAAAAAGTGAGGTCTTAAAACTCCCACATCCATCTCAGTAAATTAACAGTATTTACACCTTTGTTATTCTCTACTACTACAGAAAGTGGTTTTTGCTAATGAAAGACGTGGGGGAAGGAAAGGGCTCTTTTTTTTTTTTTTTTTTTTTTTTTTGCGGTACATGGGCCTCTCACTGTTGTGGCCTTCCCGTTGCGGAGCACAGGCTCTGGACGTGCAGGCTCAGCGGCCATGGCTCAAGGGCCTAGCCGCTCCGTGGCATGTGGGATCTTCCCAGACCGGGGCGCGAACCCGTGTCCCCTGCATCGGCAGGCAGACTCTCAACCACTGCGCCACCAGGGAAGCCCAGGAACGGTCTCTTTAAGAACACAGAAATAAGATTCTGATTCTACAAATCCCTCTATTATTAGAAAAGTACTGTTAATAAAAGTGCCTTAAGGTAGGGTGACTCCAAACCCAGACAACTTATAGAACAAAAGAAGTTCCTCATAGTTATACCCAAACAGTTATATATGAAGACTACAAATATACCTGCTAAACAAACTGATTCTAAGTTATCTTAGCTAAAAGTAACATAATATTTAATTCATCACTTACACCAGAAGCCACTAAGCCACTACCAAAGAAAGGAACTGCATAAATCTCAGTGCATTGGTTACCATAGTTATTTCATTCTCCATCATGCACATATTCAAAAAGTACATTATTTGGATGGCAGTTTTGTTTTTCTAACTCCCAGGCAGTTCTTTTAATAATGGTTAAACATGATGGAAAATATTACCCAGACATGTTGGAATAAACTGCGCTTTACATATAAGACACAGTTTTAAGGATGAATACATTAAAAGACCAAAGATACAGAAAATCAAGATGAAAAACTGCTTACCCTGTTGCTAAGCACCTTCTGAACAGGCTCAGAATCATCAAACACAACGAACCCAAAATTGGGTAATTTCCCACCGCTGTTAATACGCAGCTCTACCACATTCCCATAATCTGCAAGTGGAACACAGATTCTCAAATAACTTAGAACATTTCCTTTAAGTATTACACGCGCACTGTCCAATGAAAGCCACTAGTAACACATGGTTACAAAGCATGTCAATTGTGGCTACTCCAAAATAAGATGTGCCCTACGTGCAACACACACGCTGGATTTCAAAGACTTAGGATAGGCTGATGGAAAGTATCTCATGTTTGTACATATTAAGATGATGTCTTAGATACACTGGGTTAAATAAAATATTAAAATTAAATTATCCAGGTTCTTTTTGCCTTTTAAAATGTTACTACAAAACTTAAAATTATAAATGTGGCTCATCTGTTTCTATTGGATAGCACTGTATTAAATGAATCTAGTATTTAAAACTCAATAACCTACTTTGAAAAAAATCTTTAAGCTCTGATTTGTCCACCTCATGAGGCAGGTTGCCGATAAAGAGTTGGTGGCTGTCAGGGTGTCTCACGATTCTTCGGGGTTCAACGTCACCTTGCTCACCAGCCTCACGGACTGAAGAGGAAACAAAAGCAGGAAGGAATGAGAAAGAGGACACCTTTACATGACTGTTCCATTCAACAGTTCTCTCTACCCCTAAATACAGGCAATTCCATTAACTCCACAACATATTTTTTAAAATCTAAGTACACGCAAACATCAACTACCCTCCCAAAACAAGCTCTCACCCTCAACAGGCTCAGACTAAAGAAGCCACCCTTCTGAGCTCTCACCTGGTCTAGGTCCCCTCTGGGGAGGAACATTTATTCGCTGTTCTCGCACCCTTTGATCCCTCTGAGGCCTCTGCGGTGGAATCTGAGATTCAGGCTTAGACTCCGGACGAGGCTAAAAAATGTGTAACGTTAACTTTTGTGTAAGAACAAAGCAAGCTTACCTTTTATTCTTGTGAAGTATCCTAGCTAACAATAAGGTTTAAACTAGAAAATGACAACTCCCTCATTCTCTCACACACACACACACACAAAAACACATTAAAAATCACCTTGTAACACAGACGTAGAGAACAAACGTATGGACACCAAGGGGAAAAAGCGGCAGGGGCGGGGGCTGGTGGTGTGATGAATTGGGTGATTGGGATTGACATGTATACATTGATGTGTATAAAACTGATGACTAATAAGAACCTGCTGTATAAAAAAATTAAATTAAAAAATAAAAAAAAAATCACCTTGTACCCTTCTCCTCTGCCTTATTCATTAAACCTCTGTGAAATCACATTACACAAAAATACAAGTAAATTTGCCTAATATGCAAGCTTAATTAGAAACTCACCTGTGAAGCTGGTACTTTAACAACATGAGGTGGTATCCCAGTAACTGGAACAGCTCCACTGGGTGGAAGGTTCTTACTGGTCACAGATGCCCAAGAAAATGTCTAAGGGAACACACCAACATCAGTTGATTACACTACTTATCACAACAATATAAAAGGTATTAGCTTTTGGGCTTCCCTGGTGGTGCAGTGGTTAAGAATCCGCCTACCAATGCAGGGTACACGGGTTCAAGCCCTGGGCCGGGAAGATCCCACATGCCACGGAGCAACTAAGCCCATGTGCCACAACTACTGAGCCTGCGCTCTAGAGCCTGCGAGCCACACCTACTGAAGCCTGGGCACGCAGAGCCCGTGCTCCGCAATTAGAGAAGCCACCGCAATGAGAAGCCCACGCACCACAACCAAGAGTAGCTCCCGCTCGCTGCAACTAGAGAAAGACCACACACAACAAAGACTCAACACAGCAATAAATAAATAAAATTTATTTTAAAAAAAGGTATTAACTTTTGAATTCTTGTATTATTACATGCGCATCTCATCTGCAGAGGCAAGATGGAATTTATAAGTAACTTGAGATTCCTTTTCCCCTCTACTTAAAATTTAGTACTAAAATTCTTAGGGCTAATCAAGTATCAGCAAAGTATGAGAGGCTACTTTCACATAATTTCAAGTTTGTGAATCAAAGAAAATTCTCCTTCCAAAACCAGCTCTTCCTCCTATGATTCTCTCAATCTATAACCCAATTACACCAACTTTAGAATCTTCTTGAGTTATATCAATCAATACCAAAATCACCAAATCCTATTATTTACATCTTAAATCTCTTCTCCAGCTCCACTGCCATGACCCTAATCCAAGATGTCATTACCTCTCTCCAGAACTACTATAATTAAGCCACCTAAGTTGTCATCCATTCTCAATCCAGCCAACCTACTTTTCCACCTGCAAGCTAAAGTGATTTCACCATTTCTCTTTCCTACTCACCCAGAAGCTTCCAGAGACCAAGAACTCTATCTACTTTACTGACAGTTCCCATACCTAGAACAATGCCTAACGCAAAGACACTTGAAATAACTGTTAGAGAAACGGCATTACAAGAACCCTGGCCCCATAAATACAGCACTAAAACATATTCCTTCAAGGAGCATCAACTGTAAAGGTTCTGTTAGTTCAGTTATCATCTTGATGTGACTCAGGGACAGTAACTGAAAATCTTCAAACTTTTCAAATCAGGTATTCTGATTAGAAAAGTAGTTATACTTGAGCAATTTGTTTCTACTTGTACTATAAAGTTGTCCTCAATTAGATTTCATAGAAAAGGGCAGGAAAAGTCTGTTGTGCCATGTTATTTTTCAAAGATAGACTATCACTTATTTAACAAGCACACAATAATCTGCAATTTGAAAGATGTAATATTAAAAAGGTTTGTTGATGCAGTGATAAAATAGCACCTGAAATTTCTGGTCTAAAAAGTATTCAAGTTTCCTTAGAGGAGGGGAAAAACTACTTTTGATTTTAGAAAGCAATATGCATCTTACTTCTTATCTGAGGTATGGCTCAATATGGAAGAAACTTCCCTAAACAACCAATATGAAAATGTACCTACAAAAGGCAACCAAGCAACAATAAAGAAGAAGAGAGATTTTTAAAAATAGAAGTGGAATAAAAATGAAGACGCATTGCATACTCTCAAGTCCTCCTGCACTGTCTGGGCTATGTCTGCAGGCGCTGGAGAAGAACTCTTCTGAGCATCCTCAGGAGCAGTTTCTTCCAATACTGGCTCAGACTTTTCCTCTTGGACTTCAGACACAGGTTCTTGCTCTGGCTCTGGTTCAGGATCAGGCTCTGGTTCAGCAACAGGTTCTTCTAAATGTTCTTCTAAGTCATTGCTTTCATGGTAAAATTTGAGAAATATCATTCTGCTTCCGTTGATTTAGCAAGAAATTCCTAGAGACCTGAACCTAAAAAACATAGCTCTCTCCTCCCCAAAAAGATCTAAGAATTATGTATTTGCGTATTAAAACAAGACAACTTTTTAGAAAAGCCCTCAGTGAGCAAATCTTAACTGCAGTCAGATTTGCTAAATTCTGATTAAGCAAATGCATCAAACAGATCAAAATGAACCAGAGCAGTGTTCCTCAGAATCCCAAAATTATTACAATTTACCTATCACATATCACAAAACTCTAATAGGCTATGGGGAGGTGGAAAGGTACAGTTTCAGTTTTTTCAAGATAAAAATTTCTAGAGATCTGCTGCACAATCACGTGCATATACTTAACACTACTATAAAGTACACTTAAAAATGGTTAAGAAGGTAAATTTTATGTTATGTGGTTTTTAGTATCAAAATTTTTTCTCACAAAAACACACAAGGAATTTTGGAGGGAAAAAAAACCCATCAGTTGTGATTCAGAATAGTTCTTAAACTTCCACATAAGTCACTTTAACAAACTGCAGATGCTTCCCTCCACCGGAAATTCTAATTTGATAAGTTTGTGGTAGGACAACAAATCTTCATTTTCAACCAGCAACCCAGGTGAGTAAAGTCAGTCCCATCACCACACCTTGAGACACTTTTGAGAGTATCCTTTAAGCACTGAATATTAACATTAAGGGTATCACAGGGCAACAAGTAAATACTAATTTATATTGCTATCCAACATATTTCTGTTCCAGTTGCAGATTAAAAAAAACCTAAGATACAGTCACACATTTGTCTGAGCTAATAAATGAAGTTCTTTATTGTTACTTAACTCATGTCTGAATTTTTGTCAATTTATGTCTAAGTCCTTGTACACCTTGCATCTCAAAAAAAGCACTTAAAGCTATGCCTTGATGTATTAAATACTTGATAACCGAAAAGCAACTGATGGATACTATTTAAGTAGTCCTCAGACTGCAATCTATATTAAACAAGTTATATATTTATGTTACATACCAAAAGCAAAACCTTTCTTCTGGGAAATTATCACTATTTTCTGAGATAATTCTCAGCATTATGGCTGCCCTCCAACAAACAGAAAGACTAAACAACTCAAATTCTCATGCAGCTCTGGACAGATGAACAAAGTTTTCCTTACCTGACAGTTTGATCATAGAAAGTTCCAGAATCATCAGGTACCACCTCAGGTGTCTGCTGTCTTTCTTCAGGTTCCTCTACTTCTTCTTCAGATTCTAAATGAGAAAAGAAATTTAACATATTTGTGCTCACTTAACTCACAAATATATTCACTTGCACAATGTTCATCATGATAAAAAAGGCAATGAAATAAGAACAGTACACATACATAAAAAGATAAAGAAAATTGGGTAAAATCATGACGTAGGCTTTAAGGACAGAATTAAGGTCATCGTAATGTTTGGGTTACAAGCATGGAGTCTGAGGTCATATTGCCAGTAATCCAACGAAGGTTCTACCACCTAACTAGCTATATGACATCAGGCAAATGACCTCCGTGCATTTCAGTGCCCTAATTTATTAAAAGGGAACAACAGTTCCTAAAATACTTATCTGTAAGGCTGTTGTATTATACAATAAATACAAAGCACTTAGAATTCTGAGTCATACAGAAAACACTAAAATACTAATTACTCTTAGCATTTAGAGACAATTCTCCACAGGTAGCTGTGTTTCTGCATATCTTACAACTGAGGCAATGGCTAATCTTTGTTCCAGACTACCTTTTAAGAATATTTATACAGCAACACTCTCGGAAAACAGCGTCTCTCTCCAGAGCAACGGGCAGGCATGTTTGCTGCCCCATCATAAGGTTTTGGTTGCTGAAACTTAGGTTCCACTCTAGTAATGCACCCCACTGCACTGCAGGTATCATCTAAACTTCTGCAGTGTCCTACGGAAACTATGGCTAAGATGCTACTATTGTTGCTATAATAACCTGTCTACTTCTGATTTAGGAGTTTGATGTCTTCTACCAATATCAGTGAAGTAGACTAACCTATCAGCCTCAAGTAGGTTAAAATCTCCAACCCTTCTTATGCCTTGACAAAAGTTACTAATGAAAGATACAGAGAATTATGAAAACATTCAAGAAACCTACACTCTCTTCAGGTCAATCTGATGCCATCCAAAAAAATTTAGACAAGTAACTTACCTTCCTGAGGCTCAGTGACAAAGCCACCAAAGACCTCATCTTGGTATCTGAAGATATCATTATGAACATAGAACTTATTTGCAACAGAGCCCTGCAATGCCAACAGAAAGTTTTCATTTATTCAGCAAACTTTTAAAATTCCACATCACCCTACACCATCGTTCTCAACTAAAGGCAATACTGCCCACCCCAGGAGACATTTGGCAACCTTGGGAGACATTTCAGGTTTCCCGTCAGGGAGGAGAGCTGACAATTACTAAGGAGATGGCAGGGACGCTGCCAGACACCCTACGCCACACAGGACAGCCCCACAGCAAGCAGTCACCCAGCCCCAAATGCCAATAAGGTCAAGGCTGAAAGGATCCCTGCTTTACATTACATACTGTGTGCTTAAAATATCACCAGGTGAATATCCAAAACTGACAAACTCTAAGTATTTAAGATGCCAAAGCCCAGACTTCAAATCATTTCTTGAACAATAAATACATATTACCAATTGCAACAGATATTTTAAAATTCGCTAAATCTCTATCCAAGAATATTGACACAAGCACTCAAACGTGTAGCTAAAAAGGTTTGCCTACCCTAGGTATAAGACACAACTACACTGAAATCCAACTATGTAATTTACTAGTCATTCAATTTCTAAGGCTGTTTCTTCATCTGCAAAATGAAGGATACCAACTCATACTTAGAGCTTTGAATATTAAATGAGACAGTTTATGTAACAATCCATTATACTATGGTAATGTTAAGATCTTTAAAGGCAAAAAAGAACTAAATTTAGAATAATTAATAATCATCCCATGATTCCTTGAATATTTAGAAGTCCATCAACAATTTTAACACTATAGATAATCTAAACCTTCCTCTAAAAATCATGACTAAAGCAACTTCATGTAATTTTTCAAATAGACAACTGAGTTATTTTATATTCAAACAGTAAAATGACAGGGATTTTAGATTCACTACCCTTCAACAGAAAAGTATCTGACAAGTAATGCTAGAGAAAACTTTTAGTCAGCAGGTCCTCTTGGAACCCCTTCCACACGCTCACACAGATAGGATTCCTTACTCTGTTCATTCTGGACCAGTCGAGAAGGCAGTACAAATGCAATTAATCAACATAAGCCTGTAGTCTTTTCATGAAAAGCATGATAACTAAAAAAAAAACAGGGCTCCTTGAAATAACAGCTGACTCCAGAACTGGGGTCGTGTCTGGAGCAGGGAGAGTGCAAGGTGAACCTGAAAGATCTGTGCCACAAACTGCCCCCCCGCCGCAAAAAAAACCCCAAAACAAACAAACAAAAAAAAACAGAAACCCGCTTGAAGGGGTTCACACTTAGCAGATCCTAGGACACTTCGGAAATTAATAAAAAATTAACTAAATCCATTAAATAAAGACCCCATGACAGATAGAAGAAAAGGCAAAGTTCTTTACAGTAGAATGCCAACTAATAAATAAAGAATTAGATGATCACCATTTGTAGCCATCAGAGTAGCAATTGATTCTGGCAAGAATCAATGAATGCTAGAACTAGCGTCTAAATTTTGATGAAGAACAAAGTATACACACAGTCTCAAAGAAGCACCCACAATTTACTTACTAATGAGAAAAGTAAAAGCACTAACTTTACAGTGGCAAAACCTGGTGACCATCACCTTAACTAAGTAATACTAATAATGGGCCTAAATGACATCAAGTGCTACCTAATGTGAGGCACTGAAAGACATGTATAACCTAAAACTAATTATAAGGAAATATCAGACAATTCAAACTGATGCATTCTACACGGTAATTTGATTGTCCTCTTTAAAAATGTCAGCGTCTTGAAAAACAAAAGATTAATGAATTATAGCTGATTAAAGGAGCCTAAAGAGACATGACAGCTATATGCAATGTGTAATCCTGAACTGAATCTTGGACAAGGAAAAAAAAATTACTATTCTTTGTATTACTGGGACAATAACCAAAATTTAAATATGGACTATAGATGGATAATTGTATTACAAATACTCTAATTTGATAACTGTACTATGGTTATGGAAGAGAAGTCCTTATTCTTAATAAGTGCTCACGGGCTTCCCTGGTGGCGCAGTGGTTGAGAGTCTGCCTGATGCAGGGGACATGGGTTCGTGCCCCGGTCCGGGAAGATCCCACATGCCACGGAGCGGCTAGGCCTGTGAGCCATGGCCGCTGAGCCTGCGCGTCCGGAGCCTGTGCTCCGCAACAGGAGAGGCCCCAACAGTGAGAGGCCCGCGTACCACAAAAAAAAAAAAAAAAAAAGAAAAGAAATGCTCACTTAAGTACTGGAGGATGACTGGGCATAATATCTCCAATTTACTTTTTTTTTTTTTAATTTTATTTATTTATCTAATTTTGGCTGCGCTGGGTCTTCGTTGCTGCACACAGGCTTTCTCTAGTTGCAGTGAGTGGGGACTACTCTTTGTGGTGGTGTGCAGGCTTCTCACTGAGGTGGCTTTTCTTGTTGCGGAGCACGGGCTCTAGGCGTGCGGACTTCAGTAGCTGTGGCACATGTGCTCAGTACTTGTGGCTCACGGGCTCTATAGTGCAGGCTCAGTAGTTGTGGCGCACGGGCTTAGTTGCTCCGCGGCATGTGGGATCTTCCCGACCAGGGATCGAACCCATGTCCCCTGCATTGGCAGGTGGATTCTTAACTGCTGTGTCACCAGAGGAGTCCTCCAATATACTTTTAAAATAGTTTAGAATTAAAAATGATAGGTAAATAGAAAAAGAATTATAAATGTGTGGACAAATGTGGCTCTAGGTAAGATATATTAAAGAGTACTTCTGCACTATTATTTCAACTTTTCTGTATATTTAAAACTTCAAAATGAACAGTTTTTAAAAAGACATGTACAACCTTTCATTGTTATTTTTTTTCATACCTCAGGAGCAAGGACAAAGGTCTGCATGAATCTCCTCAAAGCCTGGTTGTTATTAGAGAGCAAGCCCATCACCTGGACCACCACACCATCATTCAGGGTGGCATGAGCATCGACATGACGGATCTTAGTGTGGCAATTGGTGAAATTTTGTGACATCACTTTCCTATGGATTTCCTAAGGAATCGAAGAAAGAGAATGCAGAATCTCCAAGAACAAAAAACTTTCTAACACAACAAAGATAGAGCATTTACCTGTGCACATTTAAATTACAAACTACACAGACCCCACTGCAATTTGTCTTAATATAGTATATTCCCAATGACACCTTAACCTTAATTATTAAAATTATTGTCCTTAATTAACATAACTAAAATGTTTACAATAGATGATCCCCATGCTAAAACCTATCATCTTCTAACATAAAAGAACTTCAGAATATATCATACAAAATGAACGAAAGTGACATTATAAGCTTTTCAATGATTATCATATAAACCAAGTAGTTACTGAATACCTAAATTTCTAAACAGAAGTTGAGAAATTTCATCTTTAAATATCAACAAACGTATCAAGCATGTATCCATCTCAATTCTATGGGTTATTTTCTAGCTACTCAACAGCCTACACGAAGCTTGTTTTGCTTACTTTCTGTCCATAGACCGCATCTGCTGGCTTTCCATTCGAATCCAATCCCCCATGGACATAAGAAGAGTTCTTTCCATAAAATCTGTAAAACAGAAAGATACTTGTCATCTTCAAGTATCCTAAGACCAGGTATTTACTGTTCATGTTTGAACCCATCTGTCTGACTAGTACATTCTTGGAGGCAGGAATGTATTTTCTTTTTCATCTTTGTATGCAATCATAATATATGCATCATCTACATGTCACAACATTTGCTGAATGGGAATGAATCTGGTCAAGGAATTTTTATGAGTCACAAGTTTCAGGTCTCAGGAAAGGATGATCATGTTGGGAAGGATCTTGTAGTTCACGTCAGGAAGGCACCTTAAAATAAAAGTTCCTGTTTTCACTCAAGGAGACCACAGGTAGTCTTGATATACAAGAGGACATCTATACTCTCTACCGACTTAGAGAGAGTCCTTTTATATCTGAGAATGCATGTGATGAGTTCCCATTAAAAACCCAGTAACTCAGGCAGATGGGTTTTAGGAGTAGTTTTAACAATTTTTGCTGATGCATTAAGAGCTTCAGACTTAAATCTTCATAGCTTTAATTCACCTATATCCTCAAAATTGTCTTGTTTTCATTACAACAATACTGAATTAGGGAAGCGCCAACAACACCCCACCCCAACACACACACAGACACAGAGAAAATACCCTAACTTGGGGATAATCACTTTTAGGATTTCTTGACACTTGCACTCCAAATTAACAATTTTTCACAGATAAGCCCATACATGTCATTCTACATACTGACTGTTTTTTCCTCCAAAAAAGGGACAGATCTGGGGCCTTAAGGATCTCAAAAGTACCTTTCAACCTTCAAAGTTATTAAAAGGCTGCACATCAGCCAGAATCAGTTCACTGCTGGCTAATCCACTTTTCATTGTATCTAAAATGTACCTCAGAGATGAAATGTGAAAAACAGATGTGTTAGAACCAGTAAATAACAATATTGACAAGAAATGTATTTGGTTAGTTTGTTTCAACTCCTGCTCCACTTTAAATTCCAAATGTGTCTAACTTCTAAAGGCACAGAATACAATTGACAAAAAGAACAACAAAAGAGGGGGAAAGAAAGGTTTAGGACTTGTTCTATCACTTAATAGGTGTGTGAGTACCAACAAATTTTTAACCCCTTAGTGTCTTTATCTGTAAAATGAAGTTAACTATCCTACAATGCCTTACTAAGAGGTTTTTATAAAGATCAAGAAGAAAAAGGTAAAAGTGTTTTGGAAATTATAAAGCCTTAAAAAAAAACAAAACACAAGCGATTCTTTCCATTTTCAGAACAAGGACTCAAAATGAATTTAAAAACATTCTCTTTCACCTAATAATCATGTGGTATCCAATATGCAAACTGGCAAGATATAGAAGAAAAAATAGTTCTGGTCCAACAAATACACATTTTAGAATTTCTAAAAAATATTCTAATAAGTCTACATAAACAAACTTAAGAGCTTTGTATAATGCAGCACTATTTGTAAGAGGAAATAATGGAAGCAACTTACATATTCATCATTAGGGGATTAAAACATATGTTACACCTCTGGAAAATAAAACCTCACGGGTAACAAAATTACTGTGATACATGTACTACCCTTGTAAGATGATCACAGATTATCAAGTAAAAAAGCTAAAACACAGTTTGATAAAAAAATTTGCACCTACATAGAAAAATCGTTAGCATATCAACACAAAAGTATGTCATTACAGAAACACTCTTACATCTTCTTCAATACATTCTTACTGAATAATTCATGATTCACCAAAAACAGCAAAACGGCAAACAAAATCAAAAGCACAATTATTATACGTTTACATTATCAAGCACTACTTTTCTGATAATGTATAGGTAACTTAGACTAATTTTTAAATAATATTTGTATATTCTACTATTACATAATTTGAACAACCATCACTTTTTGGTACTTACAAAGCACTTTTATGCAGTAACCCTAGAAGGTGCATGATGAATAAGAGAATCTTAAGGATAAGTACCCACACACTAAAACACAGCATTACGTGATGCTCAGGAAAAGAAAGATCTCACCTGTGTAGCATGTCTGGGGCCTGGTTCAACAGTGTGTAATACTGTCTCACAAATTCCCGCCCGACCAGCAGGGGACTAGGCTTCTCCATAACCATTGCTTTGGTCAATTCAACCTGGAAAAAAAAAGTCAAATATGTTCACCCTGAAAGATCAAGTACAAGGGGAGAAAGGGTCGGGGGAGAAGAGGTGAGATGGACTCATTGACCAACAAGATCACTTCAGCAATTCTTGGTTTTTAAAAGGAATAAACACTATAAGAAACAAAACCCACACAGACCAGTGAGGTTTTATATATTCAAATTTACTGTAATCAGATGAATGCTATGGGGGAAAAAAATCACTACGAAGAATTAATTCATCATTATTCCCAATATTCAATTTCCTTAAACTTAATATAAGAACTTCAAAAGTACATATTGGGCTTCCCTGGTGGCACAGCGGTTGGGAGTCTGCCTGCCAATGCAGGGGACGCGGGTTCGCGCCCTGGTCTGGGAAGATCCCACATGCTGCAGAGTAACTGGGCCCGTGAGCCACAATTACTGAGCCTGCGCGTCTGGAGCCTGTGCTCCGCAACAATAGAGGCCGCGATAGTGAAAGGCCTGCGCACCGCGATGAAGAGTGGCCCCCCCTTGCCACAACTAGAGAAAGCCCTCGCACAGAAACGAAGACCCAACACAGCCATAAATAAATAAATAATATCACCCCTGATTTAAAAAAAAAAAAAGTACATATTGCCAACATGCATCCTATCGTAACTTTCCCAAGCCAATAAAATCAATTAAGCATGTTCCACTTGTAATATTACAACATATTACTATGGCAATATTAGGTTCAAGGGTGATAAATATATATTTGACAATATAGACACATACTATCACATTTTTAGTCAAACTAAATCAGAGAAATTTTTACTATCTTTAAAAATGAAAAAAAATTCTAAAATGAAAAAAAATAGGCAAAAAGTAACAAATAATGTTTTTACTCAACAAAATAATCCCTACCACCTCAAAATTATGACTTAAAGTATGTTGGAGTGTAAAGGCACCTGGCACACAGTAAGTTCTCAATTACTGTCAGTTATTATTTTTTTAAAAACCCTTTCAAAAAAATATTTGGCATGAGATAATCCAAGTTTTCATTTGAGGAGATAAAATCATCCCGAACTTTATAAACATAAAGGCAAACAGAGGTACGTATAATTAACTACAGTATAAAGGAAAAATGAGAGAAATTGTATTTCAGTTTTCCTAAAGAATGGGCAAAATGGATCGAGTTTGGTTGGTCAATTCCCGTACAAGCAATCTATAGAGATGATTATCCTCATCTAGTGCATGACTGCATTATTCTTGAATACCTAGACCATTTATTACTTGTTTCACCAGGATCTAAGAAACTAGACTAATAACATCAACCTAACTGCATCCTTTGATACTGTCAAGTAGTCTCATTATAATATAAATTTCTAAATAATATTTTATCAAATATTGCTTTCCACATCCAATCTTTCCATGAAAAATGATGAAAATCCTCCAGGTTATATATCAAAGGTAAGAAAAATAAAAACTTAAGACCACATCTGGAACTTCTCCTTTCCCTTTGAGATTATCTAGATAATTCAAATTAAAAAAAAAAAAAAAACTTAGTTTGATTACCATTATCATCAGTGTTTTACTTCAGGTCATTGCCATAAAGCCAAGAAAGTTAACATATTTATACAGTAAATTGATCTTTACCTCATTTGTGAATTTTTTCTTTAACTGTTATACTTCTGAAGCTTGTCAGAGAAATCCGTATTATTAACCGAGTTTCTTTATTAGTTTAACAGCTTAATATAACTGAATATTTTGCAAACTAGGTTCTCAATTAGCATTTTAAAATGTTCCAAACAGATGGTACTTTATTCCAGGATTACCTCAAATAGCCTTGCGCACTCCCAAGGCTTATATTCACACTATGGTTCCATTAAGGTGGAAACTCCAGCTCAAGTCTCTCCTTTAAGCTCTTCTATAATAAATATCAACCAATCAGCTCGAGGGAAATGGTAGCAGTATTTAAAAATAATCTTTCTGTCAATTATAATTGAGAAAAAAAATAATAATATTCCATGTGTGTAAATACACATAGCATTTTAGTGAAAAGAAACTATATTGCTTCAATATTTAAAAAAAAAAAAAGGACTGATTCTTAAAATAACCAAAAGCGTCAAGAATTCTACGTAAGTCATGGTCAGATAAAAATAACATTTTGAAAGAAGGTTACAAGCTTCTTTGAAGTCATAAAGTTTCTTATGAGTAGAGACAATTTCTTATGCAACTTTCTAGCCCTAAAACTTAAGAGTGTCTGACACACTCAGGAATAAAAAGCTTTCTTTCATTCATCATTCTCAACACAAGTGGAGATTAGAATTTTATACAAGCAAAACAGACTTCTGATCATCCATTTGTCAGGCTGAACTATCAGGTTGTCCAGAATTCAGATTATGACCGTAGATACATTTTTTTTCCAATGATTAAGAAAAGACCAAAGAGAAAACTAAGCTACCATGCTTAAAAAACAGAAGCTGCCTGACAGGGAACAAACTGGGAAGGACTGGAGGGGAACTGGCTGGGGTGAGAGGACTGTATGCATCTGGGTGATGGCTACCTGTATACAACTAAAAAACTTTTCAAACTGAACCCTTAAATTCTATAATTTTGTGGTTTGTAAATTATGCCTCAAAAAATCTAAATAAAAATGCTTCCACATTAAAAAAAATCCTGAAGACATCATAAAATGTCTTAGAATAATTAAGAGTACTGAACCACCCAACAGCACCAGTGACTACAAAATGTTTAGGCAAGTTCTTCAGTAATCTAAGACCATACACTGAAAGTTTTGGGAATAACCTTGTCTATTTGATCATCATTCCCAGTAAAAAAGAAAATGCAGAAAATTTTGGCAATTTGAGCCCAAAAGATTTAGTCTATACAAACAGACTCAATCAATTCTCATTAGAAAAATTTTATTTGGTAAATCACCACCCTGAAATCTCCACCTTTATTTCTGGTCCAAACATAAAACAGAAGCTATGAGAAATATGTAAACTAACATCATACCCTCCTGAGAATAAAGTCTTTAATCTCACCCTCGTTCATTAGAACTCTCAATTCTGTCAAATCTAAAATAATGAAAGTAAACAAAATCAAATGGCATCTCAGAAAAGCTGATGTTTTACCAGTTACTGATCCACTATGACAATTAGAAACTCTGCAAACCAATGAAAATACATGCTAAAAATACATGAGATCCTCCCTCATTTATTAAATACTCCTGAAACACTGTGTCCTTTTAGAAGAGGTTTTACAAATTTATAATACTATGGATTCTGGCTGTTCCTTATATAACAGCATATGCCAACGGATACATTATTGGTTGGACTATGAAGCATGCACCAAAATCAGAAATAAGAGACAAACCAGATAGTCTTATTATTTTAATTATCAACAGCAATTCCCCCTTCCCCATGCTGATGTGAAGACTGGAAAACTTCCTAAAAGATACATGCCACTCTCCCAAGACAAAGTAAGGTCATTAAACGTTCCAAGTAATTCCAATTCGGAGATCACTCCCTTGCAACACTGCTTTCAGATCTACAGGATAAACCTTTTGGGGTATATATTACAAATCACTCAAAAGTAATATTCCTAAAAAATGATATAAAATTAAATCATTGTGGTCTAGAAAGATCAGTGATGAAAGAAACAGGACCTAGGAAGAATAAAGGGGGAAGGAGGAAATCACTCACTTCCACTAAAGTTTACTTTCCATTAATTTTATATCCAAGTTTGTAATATTCTGAATGTCATAATATGCCAAAATTGTACTCTACAAAGGGGACAAGAAAAATACGTTTTAAAAATTATACTTCCCCTTAAAAATTTTTTCAAGAAATACTGAAAAAGTCCTAGTTTAGGGAAAGAGGAAGAACAGAACAGTTCTTGACCTCAAGAAGTAAAGAAAAACTTGGCCACTTAGAAATACTTAAGGAAGCAAAGATAGTAAACAATACCTTCACTTTACCAGTTCTAACTGAACTGATAAGTCTAAGACCAGCAATATGTAACAAATGAACTCTGAAACTGAGTGCTCTATTTTAAAACAGTGAATGAGTATTTGAGATGCAACAAAAGGAAACCTTCAAATTTTCTCTGATCAATTCTCACTGGGCAAAATTCTACCACTAGTTGTGCTCCTGAGCTAGTAACAATCTCTCTGGTGCCCTCAGTTCTTTAATCTTTAAAATTAAAATCACAACTGCAAGAATTAAGTGTCTGGTAGTAAGCAATGAATGTTAGCTGTTACTATTACTTTTACTATTATAACCATTAACTATAGTGAAAGAAAACATTTCTACATCCCACCATTTTCTGTCACCCAGAAGACTATTTAACTATTTTGCTAGCAAAATAAAAAGAGGATTATCTCCTGAGAGAATAAGAATTTTTCTAGGGCTTCCCTGGTGGCACTGTGGTTGGGAGTCCGCCTGCCGATGCAGGGGGCGCGGGTTCATGCCCCGGTCCGGGAGGATCCCGCGTGCCGCGGAGCGTCCGCGGCTGGGCCCATGGGCCATGGCCGCTGGGCCTGCGCGTCCGGAGCCTGTGCAGCGGGAGAGGCCACGATAGTGAAAGGTCTGCGTACCGCAGAGGAAAAAAAAAAAAAAGAATTTTTCTAGAGTACCTTGGACTACGGAAGCCCAAGCACTTAATGTAAAACTACTTTTTAGTGAACTTCTAGGCTGACTTGATGACTGCAGTGGTCTACTCATGAATGCCACAGAGTCACCTGTGTGCCCACAGAATGTAACTGGCCCAATTAAACTGTAAAACCAAATGACGTGCACATCTTAATATCTTAACTTTTAAAACATGCATCACGAAGCTACAATAATTTTAGGTACGTTTATGCTATGTTAGATATAAAAATTTCTGCTCTCTTTAAAAAAACATAAATAAAGCATTAAGTCTTACTTTTCTGTTAAACACTGCTAAAAATTTATTTTATTCTTAGGCTAGGAAAATAAGTTTGCTGAACTGAAGTATTTCTAAAACAATTTTTATCTATCGGAGTCATAAAG